GATAATATGCTGAATATGGAAGTTGTCCTTGCAGATGGAAGAGTTATACATACAGCAGGAAAAATAGACGAGCTAGGTGAGAAACACTAGGAAATTGATTTCATAATATTTACCCGAAGTCAGTACCAGCAGTGTAGGTAACTTTTTTTTTTACTAAGGATAACAAAACGAACATCTCATGTTTTTTAAATGCCTCCCAGGCACGGTCATCAAAACTTTTATCGCAGACAACTACATATCTGCATGCGGGCTTTCCTACATTGAGCAGATACTGCAACGTGGCTAAAAACTAGAATGTACGAGGTTAGTTGAAGGTGGGAGAGTGAAGTACTTTGTAGGGTAAGGTGGCGCATACTGTACAATATGTCAAAGACATTTGGAACCTAAAGTCACAATTGAATTTGATATAACTTACATTTATAATGAGGATCATGTTTATACCCTGTATAGTGGTCCTTTTTATAATACTGAAATGTTGTGTTGGTTTCTATAATAATTAATAGTATTAGTATATTACTCACATAAAAGAACTTAGTGAATTTAAGATAAATTGTCTCATTGATCAGTGATACTTAAAACATAAAATCTCTTCTTTTTTTTCTCAGAAAATCGTCAGCTGGATACAATCTTACAAATCTTTTTGTTGGATCAGAAGGAACTTTAGGAATTATTACAAAAATTACACTGAAGCTCCACGCCACTCCAGAAACGGTAAGTATCTGAAGAATGATCTTAGAAGTTGTGGGATATTTCACTCGCAATTTGCAGGCCACGAGTTTACGTACTGTCACTGAACATGCTCGGCCTTTCGGTCGTGGGGCATTATAATGTGATGGTTGATTCCACTCTTCATTATTAAAGAGTAGCCCAAGAGTTGGTGGTGGATGGTATTAATTAGCTTCCTTTCCATAAGTCTGTCACTTTAAAATTAGGGACAGTTAATGCAGGTAGCTACTGAGTAGCTTTATGTATAATTCAATAAAACAAATTTACACGTTGGATTCTTCTGGACACATACTGTAAGAGTTATAATCTTAAATAGGAATGATATAACTGTTTCTCAGTACAACTGAGTCATAAGCATATAAAAGTAGTACCATTAAACAGTAATTGTTTTTATTTTTAAATTATGTGTTACGTAATGTTTTCTGCCTGGTAAGCTATTGAACATACATGTACACCTGGAAAGAACTTAGGCTGTTCCTGAGAAAAAAAATTACTGTGTTTTACAGCATTTAAAAGCAGTTATAAAACCATACTTGTAGAGTCATAATTAATCTTTTTATTAAATCTTTCAGCACTGGCTCAGTCCCTGGGACTGACATCATAACCATTTTGTGCTTGTTATAGTTTTCATGCGATAACTTTTAAATTAATAAGCAAATGTTAATGAAATTTGAATGGTAAGTTAACAAAGTTGTGTTTTTTAGACTGTTGGCTATCATTTCATAAATTCAAACTTACGTATCAGTATTGTTATAAACTTGGGTTTCAGTGGGCTGAGCACAGGTAGCCCATTGTGTAACTTTGTGCTTAACAACAAGCAGAATAGCAATATTTAGATTACTTGGATAATTGGAATAAATAAAAAAGGTAATTGTCAGAAACCCTAATTTTAATTAATTGATGATTTTTGTGAGTTGTGACACTAATTGATTGAGTTGAACAAGCTTGAATTAATTAAAAACAACAATGAAAAATCATAATAGAAGTATTTTTGATTCTTGGTTAGTTAGGATAATTGAAAGCACTAATAATCAAAAACATTAATTTTGATTAAATGAATATTTTCATGACATTGATGGATTTAATCATAATTTCATTTACTGGGTATTTTAAATAATGAATAACATCAATAATCAGAAACAGTTTTGATTAACTGAATATTTTCATTGATTGATTAATTAATTGATTCAAGTGTAATTTCTATCATTGGATAGTTGGAATAATTAAAAACACTAATAATGAGAAACATTAACTTTGAGTAGGTGATAATTTTCATGGAAGTTGAATTAATTGTAATTTTGAATAATTAGAAACACTAGTTTATTATTTTCATCACATTAATTAATTAAATTTTAATTTTTGATTATTTTATATGATATTAATCGATGCTCATAGATAATCATGTACATTGAGTTAATTCTTGTATTTACTAAAATATTATTTTTTTTTCATAGATGGTTTCAGCTATTTGTCCGTTTCCATCCGTGAAATCAGCCGTTGATACAACAATACAGGTGCTACAAGCAAGCATACCAGTGGCAAGAATTGGTTTGTACATTTAAGATACCTAATTTGGATCTGGCATTCCGCTATAACTAACTGTGCATTTAAAAATTATCAGTCTGTGCAAAATAAATTAGAAACTGTTAGCAGTAATTATAGCTATTTTGAGAAGAATTAGTTTTTTTAATGTGTAATGCTTTTGTGGAATTTTAGGTAAGGTTTGGTATTGTAAGTCTACAAGTTACGAGCCATATCAAAACTTATTTAATGCATAAATAATCCAAGTATTTTTTTTTGTAAATTTGATAATAGTTACATTTGTTGTTATTAGGTCAGTGTCTTTCAAGAATTAGTGTAACTATTTCGAGTCATGCTACTTGGATGTGTTTGGATTTTAGTTCTTTGCAGGAGTGGGAGCACAGCAAAGTATCCAAGAATAAAAAAGGTGACAAACTACCAAGTGCAGAAGGGCACAAAATTATTTTGTTCAGGAACAGTTATGATCCTATAACCTAAAGCATTATCTACTCTGAATAGTCAGAGCAACATCCCTAATATTATTTTACTGTTCACAGAAAGGAAATTAAAATAGAAAACTTCAAGTATTTAAATCATCCAGTTTTTCTTTTTAATTAATTTTATGTAAAATTACAGTTAATAACTTTGTAAAACTTTAGGAGAGTATGACTGTTTAAAAAGAAAGAACTCAAACTTCACTTACAAAACTAAAAGTATTAAAAACAACGATGCATCAACACTATCAATTCCCTTTACAATCTTAAATACTTCAATTAGAACCTCTCTAACTCTTCTTTTTTCAAGAGAAAACGATTTCAAAGATCTTAATCTCTCCTCATATGATAACCCATCCATCCCAGGCACCATTCTAGTAACCCTCCTCTGAACCCGTTCTAACAATTCAGTGTCCTTCCTTAGGTAAGAAGCCCAAAATTGAACATAATACTCCAAATGTGGCCTAACCAATAACCTGCGCAATGAAATTATAACCTCTTTAGACTTGTATTTGATATTTCTGTAGATACAACCTAGAATCCATTTGCTCATCACTAGCAACAGCACACTGCTTGGATGGCTTAAGAGATTGATCAACCATTACACCAAGATCCCTTTCTTTCACGACACTGTTAAGGTTATTCCAATCCAAGTTATACTTATAATTTAAATTATGATAACCCACATGCATTGTCTTACATGTATTATAATTAAAACTCGCTAAATGATCTAAATCCTTTTGTAAATCAGCAGCATCCTCGTCACAGCTATCAACACCCAAGACCTTAATATCATCAGCAAATTTAAGTAATTTATTGACCTTTCCTTCATCTATGTCATTGATGTGAATCAAAAAGAGCAAAGGTCCTAAGACTGAGTCTTGAGGTACCCCATTGGTGACATTATCCAGTTTGATTGAACTCCATTTATAACAACACTCTGCTTTATTCCATCCAGCTACTCTTCTATTTAATTAACTAATTTATCTTCTACACCTATAGATATAATGTTTTTACAAGACTTTTATGTTGTACCTTGTCAAAGGCTCTCTGAAAATCCAGAAAAACCAAATCTACACCCTTACCCTCGTTTACGTAAGCAGTAACCTTTTCACAGAATGTTGAAAGATTGGCAAGAATTTCCACGTTGACTATCCAATAAAATTATAAACTTTGTTAACTGACTTTTCAAAGCATATTTTAACAGACTTTCTAAAACTTTTCCCACAACTTATGTTAGACTAATAGGTCTATAATTACTGGGACAATTTTTATTACCTCCTTTGAAAAAAAAGGGAGTAGCATTAGCCAACTTCCAGTCTTTTGGCACCTACCTGCACACTATTCAAAGGCTTATAATAGGTGGGTGTCTAACATATTCAATCCTTAACCTCTTTCAAAACGATTGGGTAAATATTATCTGACCCAAGTGCTTTATCATTCTTGAAACTTTCCAATGTTTTCTTAACAGGCTAATAATTAATGTGGTCATCTTGTTCAACTTTGTTTACATCTAGTAACTGTTCAGTTTGAGTTATATTGCTTAAACCTTCATCAGTAAATACCGAAAAAAGTATAATTTAATAACCCAGCCAACACATAATCATCAGCTATTAGCCTTCATGTATCATCTATCAAAGTCCCTACACCCATCCTAACATTTTGATTACTCCTAATGTATTTAAAGAAATCCTTACTATTTGTTTTTACATTCCAACCAACTTTTTTCGTATAGTTTTTATTTACTTTCTGATTTCCTGCGCCATTCAACCGCAGTGACCTGCCTATCATTCCACACCCATGGTTAAGTCTTGACAGTTTTTATGACCATTTTCTTTGAATGCCTTTCTTAGTGCCTTATACTTAATAATTAGCTCCTGTGATTACGCTTCCCTACATGATTAGCCAGTATCTACACTACAAAGAATGCGTCACTACTAATAATTAGCTCCTGTGATTACGCTTCCCTACATGATTAGCCAGTATCTACACTACAAAGAATGCGTCACTACTAA